TCATGAGTAATTTGATCCAACCATCTATGATAATCAATGGTTAAAAAATAATGGGATCAATTTTATAAATATTAGTATAAGCTAAGGGAATCAACTTAGAGATTCCATGCATCTATTTCTTTAATGAAACAAAATTAATTAAACCAAATATGTTCTTTTTGCAAACTAGCACCAGTAATCTAATTGCACATGAGACACTACCAACAAAAAACAAGCGAATAAACATTAAAGACGAAGACAATGACAAACCTATCCAAAAGTGAATTAACAAAACGTAGAATAATTTCATCCAAAAATAGTATCTACTACCTAATACCATACCAACTACAATAAGTATTTAGATATATAATTGTATTTAGAAAAATGCAAACTAAACATTAATTTTAATACCAACTATAATGAACTTCTCTTATATATTCTTGCATTGATATACTTTGAATTACTTATTTAAATACAAACATTAGACATTAAATCAGTCGTGCAATATGCGTGTAAAATTAGTAACTTTTGTGAGTGTCAATTTAACCACATGAAATTTGACACTAGCAATTACGATTTTCTTTAAAAATTGATACTCTCGACAATAATCAAATTCATAACTTTTATATCACAAGACCGACATCCCTTAAAAATAAAAATAAAAACAAAAATAAAAATTCATTGGCCTGACCATCAGAAATAAATGCAAGGAAATTCAGCAATAATCCAATAGTCACCAACCTACTGCGCAGGACTTTATAAGGATATAATTTTGTGGACCACTAGCTGATGAATTTTTATTCTGTTTTATTTTTTTGTGACGAGAAAAATTTGTAGTAGGTCGGAGCAGTCCATACAAGAAAAGTAAATTGTATAAGAAAAAGTCATTCTAACAAATTCAACTAAAAAAGTATTAATAAGAATCAAATTTGTAACCTAGTATGAAAATTATGCTCCGTTCATTCGACCACTTGTTGAATTGGAAGGTGACCTACTTGTTTAGCTTTAAGTGACTTCTAAGTTTGTAAATTACTAATAATAATTCATTTTGTTTAATTATATTTATTATACATATTAATCATGAAGCAAGCTTTACTATCATTATTTTATCTCATTATAGAATGATGTAAATATGCTAATTATGACTTATTTACAGTAAATCTTTCAATTAGAGGAATGTTATGCATAATGTTGTCCCAATTTATGATATGATTAACCTAACTGTCGCAATAAGTACAGTTGCAATTTTCAACATCATATCTACACTAACATAATTACAATAATTTATATATCAATTTCAATTGACTACTACCAACCATTAACAATAGTAACAATTATTGAATAAACAGATATTTTTAGCTTTAGTTAATTCGGTTTGAGACATCAATTAAAGTAAATTATTCAAATTATAAGTTTGGTATAATTTTCTTACTAATATTAGGTTGCTTACGTATTATTATTTTTTGGGGTTAATTATGACATTTATATTAAAATTATAAGCCAATAAACTATTCAAAAATTTAGGTTCAGTTAAAGATGAAAATAATATTATCATTTTTTATGAGTGACAAGAAAACTTGTAACCGCTATCTGAAAATACGTATTAGATAAATTCTCATGTTGTGTAATAGCATGTAAATCACACAAGAGAAGTAAATCATATGAGAAAGACCTTGTACGATGGGATTGGTCCAAAAGGTACTGACAAGAATTGAAAACATTCTAGTACAAGAATTATGCCCTGTCCAAATAAACATAGGCGACTTATACCATGAACCATGATTTACCTTGCATTGTGACTTTGATCGAAAATGACATTCAAATTGTGTGGCTGCAGTTAACATATTATGTGCCTACAGTAAATAGATTATGTACCATAAATAAATTGAAGACACATAATATGTTAATTGTAGATACATAGGCTGATAGGCACATAATTCATTAATTGAAGCTATATAATATATTAACTGTAGACACATAATTTGAATGTCATTTTAAACTAAGGTTCATAATCCAATGTAGACCATCATCCATGGTATAACAATTGATTTTGGCAAATTATGTTGTGGAACCGTGTCCACCTTGCAAGGTGGCAAGGTGGACACGGTTCTAAAACTGTTCATAATTATGAATATATAATTCTATAATTATGAACATAGAGTTGTGAACATAATTATGAACATATAGTTATGTAATTATGAATATAAAGATTCACTAATTGTGAATATGACATTCAAAAATTATGAATATATAGCTTTATAATTGTGAACATATAGTTCAGTAATTATGAACATAGAATTCTGTAATTGTGAATATAGAGTTCAATAATTATTAATATGAAGTTCAAAAATTATGAATATATAGCTTTATAATTATGAATATATAGTTCAGTAACGATTGTATTATTTTCTAATGGATCAAAAATCCTCTTACTCTGAAGGTGAACCGAAGCCCAATATGCTCAGCCCAATGAGGTTAGCAAGCCCAGTTACCCCGGGAATATTTATAGCTGTTTTTTTCTTCTAACGTTATACATCTTAAAAGAACCTAGTAATTCACAATCATTATAACATGGACTGTAGTCCACATTATAATGTGAATCACTAAAATATAGCTTCTTCATTTTTTTCTTTTTTCTTTTTTTTTGAGGATTATAGCTTCATTTTAAGTATATACTAAATTACTTTTTTTTTTAAAGTTACGGAAAGTTATTTTTAAATATACTACTTAAAATGAACATTCAATTTATAAACAAAAACTTTTACAAGTAAATCACAATAGTCAACCAAAGGCCTTGTGGTCAAGCGGCATAGCTGTGGCCCTCAAATGAGTGGTCTCAGATTTGAACCCCAGTATGGGTATATTGACTCTTTGTGTTTTAGTAATACTATATTCAAATAGAGTCCACTGTTGCAAAAATCGGTCTAAGCGCCCGCCTAGGCGCCGCTTAGGCGCTAGGCGCCCCTAGACCGTGGCGATTTTCCCCCTAGGCGTCCGCCTAACGCCTAACTCGGTCGACTTGGCCTCCTAGTGTCTAACTTAGCCGAGTTAATTCGTCCATTTGGGTCGAGTTAACTCGATCAGTTCAGCCGTGCCAATTTTTTTTTCATTACACACACACACACACACACACACACACACACACACACACACACACACACATATATATATATATATATATATATATATATATATATATATATATATATATATATATATTTGTGTGTGTGTGTATACACACACATATACATACATATATATACATCAAAATAATATTAAAAATTAAAAATACTCAAATATTACATATATACACCCGTAGACTAGTTTGATACTTTGAATCTTTGGATGATTGAAGTATTTGAGTATTTTTAATTTTTAATATTATTTTGATGTTATGACTTGTGAATTATCATTATTTCATTTATTTGAATGTATTATTTGATTAAATGTTGAAGACAACCTCATTAAAATGGTCAAACTGCAAGTCTGCCACTGTTTTTTTTCTTTTTGCGCCCGCCTAGATTCCGCCTAGGCGTTGCCTAGGCCGCTTAGGCGCTGTTCGGGTGCCCGACTAACGCCTACCGCCTACTGCAACCATGATAGAGTCAATAACAAATAAGAAGGTAAATTGAAAAAAAACAATTTATTTCTGTTAATATTTATTTGTTCGTTAACTAGCAGGGTACCACCTTGAGGTGGTGAGTCAACTGGCTCACCAACTCTTATTTTAGTATTGTATATTATATATTATATATTTCTTATGATAATATAAAATAAGATAAAATGATGAACAAGAGCACATGAAATCTTATATCTTAACTAACGAGAGTGTATTATCAAAAAAAAAAAAAAAAAAAAAAAAAAAAAAAAAAAAAAAAAAAACTAACGAGAGTGAATAATTTCAGTTGACACATTATTTAATCGGGGCACTTAATATATAGTTATTGAAGATGCCATTCACATCCTAAACATTTTGGTCAAAAATATTTTTTTTTCTCCCACACATTTACCACTCACACACTAATTTCTTGATTTGACATTGTATGGTGAATTGAAATTTAAAATTAAAAAGAAAACAATTAACCATACAAAAATAGTCACATCTCAAAATGTATATCAATGCAAGTTTTATACGGAGTAATTACAATTAAAATCATTTACACGGCTGTCATGTTTAATATAGGCATTCAATAACTTAATGGTGGATATAGTGAAGAATAAATAAAGGATGTTTTTTTTTCAAAAGATTGAATTCCCAATTCCAAAAACCCCCACGTTCCAACCCGACAGAGAATGTTTAAGGATGTAAGAGAATGTAAATCACGGTAATTCAATAATGGCTTGCAAGTTTATAGAAGATATTTATACACTTTGGATATGTACATTATTCCCAAAAATATGAAAGTTTAAAGGAACATATTTGAACATAGCTTCTAAAGGACTAATTACTTTCATCATGTGATCTTGGTTGATCTAGTTTTCTAACAATGTGCATGTCTTCTTTATTACCCAAAGTATATAACCATAATATTATAGGTCCATACAAAATTCAATTCATAAAAATGGCACAACTAACATGGAAAGAGAATTTTGTATTCTTTTTTTTTTTTTTAAGTTAACATGAGAAATTGAGAACTTGTAAAACCATGAGCTTTTTATGTTTCAAATAAAGAACTCTTACAACTCATGACATTGTAGGCAAAAAAAAAAAAAAAAAAAAAAAAATTACAAGTAAATAGGAACTATGATTTTGTATTTAAAAATGTTTTCTGAATTTCTTTTTTTAAGTTGGAATCTAATATTTAAGGATAGTGTCTCAAATATCTTTAATCATTAGACGAGTCAGGTCAATATGCAAATGTAATGCTTATACTAGCAAATGTAATACTAAATATTACACTTCATCTTGACCCAACCCATCTCATGAACAAAAATCCGCAAGATATCTCACACAAGTTTTTGCCAATATTTAATTTATGTTATTGTATCCTTTTAGCACTGCTAATTGTTAAACACAAACAGAACCAAACACAGTCATCGAGTTTTGTTTTCCCTCCAATAAATGTACAGTTGTTCCTGTGTACGAGGAGAAGAATGGACGACCACAATACAATCAGATTAAGCATCCTATTATAAAAGTTTTCACCCTAGAATATATATTGGGCGAATACAAAACAAACTATGAATACTTTGGTCCCCATTACACCACTACTAGACAATTAGCTAAACCATATTCAAGCCAGATATATTTTTAGACTAGAGGAGGGTATTGCTTAGCCTGCTGTCGAACCCTCCTTTTATACTCCACCGTGTCCTGCATTCAAACGAGACCACGAGGGTAAACCATATCCCGCAGTTCTACTTTTTATGTGGCGTTCACTAGACACCATTGTTGACAATGAACCTAGAGTTCGGAGTTATGGCTAACAATAAGATAGGAAGCCGTTTCATTACATACCTGGATAAAGAGATGATATCCTTCAGTTTGAGCAGGGTCAGCAGGATTCGGCTGATCTAACAAGTCCTGGATACCAACTAGAATTTGCTTAACGGTAATGGCTGGTCTCCAACCCTGAGGATAGTAAAAATAATAAGTGCATCCAACAAGTAAAGTTGAACTGAAAATTTAATTAGCTTTAAGAAAACACAGCCTACATACACTGTCTTCATTAAGGATTGAAAGGCAAACTGTTCCTGAAGGATAGACATTTGGGTGGAAAAACGCCTGGGGAAATTTGCACTTTGGCGGTTTGCTTGGGTAGTCTTCGCTGAAGTGCATTGTTAGCGGGTAATTACCACCTTCCCAATCAGTCTGCAATAGGTATAGATTACCAATCATTTATACCAAGGTAACAACATTTTCAAGACTGTTGACTACCAAGAAGTTTCTGTGCAAAATTCCTAACAGAATCTAGAGAGCTACAATAACATCAAGCAGATGAATATAATCAAAATTTCCAGAAAGTAGGAGTTAGATTGTAATTAGTGACAGCTCAAGGTAATATAAAAGTGAATGATGTGTTTGCTGTGGGGGTGGGGTAAAAAAAATCAGGCTGCTTGTGAGCTACTCCAACTTAACTCTACAAACACTCAACCATTGCCCAAGCCAAGCTCAAATTCAAATAGGTTAAGTATCAAGGTAGCTCAAGGAGCTCATGAGGCTAATCATGCTTTCATATTTTTAAGATATATTACATAAAAGAAAAATAAACAATGTATAATACCAATTACAATTATTCCTTGTTATACCCAACATCTCTATGTGACATGAGAGTATAACTCATGCTCACTCTAAATTATATAGTTTCTCTCCCTAAAAATCTCCTGTCTGGAGTTGACTAAGTGTTGGTTTGGTTTCCTTGACTAATTTCTCCCCATATCGGCCTGTGTATCATTTCTGATTTTTTAATTTTTTTGCTCTTTTCTGGCAAAAGGCATCTTTAAAAAAGTAATGGATAGAGAATGCATTTCCTTTTGGAATTTGAATAGAAAGGAAGAAATTGATTTTCTTAGTTACAAAAAAAAAAAACTTTGTTCTTTGAAAACTTATATATAACTTTTAAATTGGCTCTGGATTGAACCAAATTTAGCTGCTTGAGCTCAACTCAGCTTGATTACACCCCCTAGTAGCACTCATGAACACATTTTCACTCTAACGGGGCTTGGGCTCAACTTTGTTAGATTACACCCTTAGTACACTATAACAACATAATATCGTATATCATCTTGTGATCATTTGGCAACAAATTGGTTGTGGATGTGATGACCTTCGAAGATTAGGACGAAACCATCAAAATTAACAAGACAATTGGAGAAAGCTTCCAGTGAGGAATAGACAAGCATCCCCTCACGACAAATCAACAAAAGTGAGATGCACAAACAGTTTAGCTTCTTTATTAACTAAAATTTGAAGAAAAGGATTTTCAATAGCAAAGTAGAAGAATGCAAGAGAATATTAGAAAAACAAAAATCATACTTATTCGAAAAGCCTTTTACAATTTACTACTCGGTATAAGCAAATACTGCAAGAACTACCTCACCAAAAAAAACTCTATAATTCATAAGGAAAACAGATATGCCTCTCAATTTCTTAGCTTTATAAATGCAAAATACATATGTTATCAAACAGGGATGAAGACGCACTTAACAGACCTCTAAACTAAAGTAATAAAACAGAGTAAACCTAGTTTAGTACTAGAATTCAAAAGAACTAAATCGAAGTAAGTGCGAGAAACAGCCCCAAAAAATAACATTCCGCCAAAACCAAATTCGGCACAATCTCTCAACCTTTCACAATATTTTTTATGAGTTCATCTTGCTATATTATAAATAAAATTCAGACGGAGGCATACCCCGGCCTTTCCAGGAATAGTGCAGTGCCACACCATCAGGTTGACGGTACCATCGGGGAGTGTCTCCGGCTTTGCCACGAAACCCTGGAAATCAAAACGAAATTGAGAAGAAAGCAGATAGAGAGGATAAAATCCAAATAAGGATAGAGAGAGAAGAGTGATCGGACATGGGGGTGGTTTTTGCGCCAGGCCTTGCGCTCCTCCGCGAGACGACCGCGAGCAATTCCTCCTAACATCTTTGTATGTTGGGTCTGGTTTCTGGGTTTCTTAGGGACTAAGGGGTGATGGTGAGGGAGGTGGTGTGGATTGGGGTGTGTAGGTTTAAAAAGACTTCAAGACGAGATGAACGGCCGCGATTTGCTGATGGAATGGACCAATGGCAAACGGGATTCTGCACAATTGAGTTGAAAATCGTGTAACCATTATTTGGTCATTTATTTATTTATTTTGAGAATAAGTTTTCCTTATGTTTTGTTTGATAAATAAGTTAATAAGTTTTGTGGGAAAATGACACTTTTTACCCCTGCGTTATATAGCATTTTTTCCTCCTCAATTATTTAGGTAAGCACATTAGTCCCCTCAATTATTCTAAAAGTGGTGTCTTTTCTCCCTAATATATTAAATTGATATTTATACCCTTAAAGTAAATATTTTATTTATTTTATTACTCCAACAAATTATTACGTATACGTAGGGATGACCACGGTTCGGTTTGAATTGAACCGGATACTAAAGCAATCGAATTAATAGTTTACGGTTATAATTCAGATCTAGAACCCAATATTTAAATGTCAATTTATTAAAATTATGTATCAAAAAAATTGAATCTTGAACTGTGAACCGGCGGTTCCGAATCTGATTCGCGATTTTGAATCGTCTTTATTTTAAAATTTTATTTTTTATTTTAAAATAGTCTAAATTCAACAATAAATGTATTTTATTTTTTCAGTTCCGAACATGAACCGTCCGTTCCGGTTCACGATTTTAATAAACTCTAAATATCGAATTTCGATTCGAAATTGTAATTGGAATATTTCAGTTTGGTTGTTATAGTGTTTGTTTAGTTTGAACCAAATTATGGTCATAATTTGTTGAAAAAAAATAAATTAAATATTTAGTTTAAGGGTAAATATGTCCATTTAACATTTCAGGGGGAAAAACAGCCACTTCAATAATTTAGGGAGAAAAAATGCTATAGGTATATAACTAAGGGAGAAAAAGTGTCATTTTTCCTAAGTTTTGTTTAATAATGTTTCTAAAATAAAATAGTAGTTTCAATTTTTTTTTATTTATTTTTATTATTTTAAAGAGAAAATTACACTTTTAGTGGGTCTTGTTAATTTCAGTTCACGACTTTTAAAAACTAACAATTTTATACCGTAACTATGTAATTTTTAACACATGTCAAATGTCGGCGAAAAAATGTAAACCATTTTTAATTATTAAATCATGGAGACAAATCGATTATTTCATGTCACTTTCTCGCTCTATATATCTCTTCCCTCACCCCCCCCCCCCCCCCCCCCCCCCCCCCCCCCGCGTTCCTCTCATAAAATCAATACTGGGTTTTAATTTTCTTCACATATGTCTTCTATGTTTGGGGTTTCGTGTTTTTTTTTTTAATGTTGCCGGAGTTAGTTGGTGATTGTTAGTGTTGCCGCCGATGAGTTGCAACAGCTACCGGATTCTTAGAAAAAGGTGCAATGATAATTGCATACTTCGACAGAGTCTCCAATGGGTCGACACCCCGCAGGCGCAAGCTAATGCCATGGTTTTCATTGCGAAATTTTCAGTCGTGCCAGCCTCATGTCTTTCCTTTCCTCCGTTCCCGAATCCCAGAGACCAGGTAACATGAATTTTTCCTGTAAAAAAAAAAATGGTTGATTGCTTGGAACAATCCTGACGCCTTTGTTGGAATCTGACAAGGCGGGAGAGGCAACCGACGCGTTGAGAAGAGGAAAACGAACACGCCGTTTGAGGAGTCAGAAACCTCCACTTTGGAAAACGGTTTTGTGTATCATATAAGTTCACACAAATCTCCTGAAACAAATCTTCTCAGACTCTTTTTCTAAAATCTAAACCAGTTTTCCGGGAACGCCATAGTTTAACCTTGAAATATATTGTAGTTTCTTTGTCAACTTCCTTTTTCTTTTCGTGGACTTTAAAAAAAGAGCCTATTGCTCTCTCAATCTCATATCATTTTACCTCTCAATTAAATGTAAGCTTTTCTTCATGAACAAGTCAGGACAGCAAGTGCAAGGAAGAAGAAAAAAGTGACATGAAATTATCGATTTGTTCTCGTGATTTAATAATTTAAAATGGTTTACATTTTTCGTGCGACATTTGGTCAATGATTTGGCCGGGTGGACCAAATGTGTTAAAAAATTATATAGTTACGATACTAAATTGTTAGTTTTTAAAGTCGTGGACCAAATTTACCTGTGTATAACCTGTGTATGTATATATGTATATATAATATCAAATTTAGTATTAGTATAAACAAACAAGTAAATGTTAACAAAAGTTGAGTTGGTTAAGCCAGCTAGGCGCGCGTTAGCCTATCACTTTAACACAGTTTCATATATATATATATATATATATATATATATTTATAATGTATTATTTATTCTAATTATTTTATTATTTTATCAAATTAATTTTGTTTCATATTTTGTTAGGGATATTTTCATAAAATTTTGATATGTTTTATTTTTAGTCCATATCCAATAATATATATGGCTATACTTGTGTTTTAATTTTTTCGAACTATCTATCATATCTGCTTAACATGATTATACTACATCATTGATTGAAATAGGACACCAACTTATGATTTTTCGTTTTTAGAATGAGAATAGTAATATGGACAAATTTTAAATAAAATTTCTTATCTACAACTCTACAAGAGTATTACTTGAACTCTATCTATTTATATTTAATTGTTTTTTTCCGTATGAAAGTCTTCCTCTTTTTTTTTTCTTCTTTTTTTTTTTTTTTTTTCTAGCGTGAAATCCACGCCATTATATGCTCACGTGAGAAATGGGTAGTTGATACGAACTAGGAAGTGGGGTAATGGGCTGTATTTACGAATCTGTGGGCGGGAAGAGAATCACATTTAACGGAGACAAAGAAGGGTCGAAGAATGAGGCAAGAAGAAGGCAAACATACTTGCCTTCAACATTATAAAATAATAATAATAATAATAATAATATTGACCGTTTTGTCAACTGCCACATTGAAGTTTACCGGGAGTAATTCAATAGAATAACAAGCTAATTTATTTAATTGCTTTTTCACCATAATTTTGAAAGTTTATTTAATCTTTTTCTCAAAATTGAAAAAATAAATTGTACAAGTCGCATTATTTTCAATTTACCATGGGAGTGTGAGGTGGGGGAAGGGGGGTTCAAGTGAATACGATAATTAATTATGCCACATAATTTAAATTTGTACTGCTAGGCATTAATTTATTATGATATTCGTCACAAGTCAGGTAAGTAATAAACTTTAGTAAACATAGAAAAACACTTGAAGGGCACTTGGTTCAAACATTGATAAATTTGAAATTTCAATTACAATCAAATACTTAGTAATTATAATGGGTTTAACTGTTTGAGTAGAATAAATCTCTTTTCTTAAGCTACTACTTAGTCAATACCCCCCTCCTCAAATTGGAGCTCAAACCAATGACCTCCTATTTGAGAGAGTCACTTCATGTTATTCGACCACAAGGTCATTGGCAATGTGTAAAAATGGCACACTTACGTGTTACAAAGACCCACCTTAAGTTTTCGGATGACTCACCTTAAGTGTTAAAACGGCATACCTTACCTGTTAAATTGGCGCACCTTCAATGTTAAAAATGGTGTACCTTAAGTGTTACAAAGATGCACTTTAAGACCTTAAATGTATGATCTCATTTGGTTCGCAAAAAATATTTGAGGGAAAATGAAATTGAAATTAAGAAAAGTTGGTAAGGGCATAATTGTTCTACTTGTTTTTTCATGGAAAATATTTTCCATGGAAAACAAAATACCATGGAGGGACCATGGAAAATGTTTTCCATGAATGAAACAAAGGAAAATAGTTTTTTTTCAAATTTAAAGAAAACATTTTCCATGAACCAAACATGCCCTAAGTGACGCACCTTAAATGTTTAAATGAGAACTTTTAAATGTTAAAAAGACGCACCTTAAGCTATGAAAAGATGCACCTTCAGGTTTAGAATGATGCACCTTAAGTTTCAACAAAGAACGCACCTTAAACACAGAAACCACGTACCTTAAATATTAGCACGACGCACCTTAAACACATAAAGTTCGCACCTTAAGTTTGAAGAAATACACAAAAAGACCAAATTGCCACCGCGTTCTTTTTAAATTTGTATTCATCATAAACGTTGATTTTGACAAGATCAATGGCTCTTATCTCACCGCATGAAACCTGGATATATATATATATATATATACATATATATATATATATATAAGTTCCATATTTAATGCATGGACAATGATTTATTTTTTCTTTCCATTTTTGAGTTCTTTGTTCAAAAGTAGGGAACAAAAATGATAATAAGTTTTATAATTACTAAAGAATTTAAATCTAATAGTAAGATAAGGAAAATAAGCAAACAAATATTGTAATAGGTATCAAATTTCATAATAAGGTACAAAAGTCCCCAACCAAAAACAACCTTATAATATTTTCATCATATTTAAACAATATATATGACATGACATTAGTTGAAGTTTGATGTCCAGTTATTGATTTCTCAAGGTATACAGTAACATACTTTTGTTAGAATAATAACAAAATAAATTATGAAATAACCTTTGTCATTAAACAATTCAAGATAGTCTATAATTTGGGAGAAGAAGATAGTCTATAATTAATAGCAACATGCAACATTAGCATTTTGGTAAAACTTTTAATAATTTTTTTAAAAAAATAAAAGGAATAAGGTATAAAGAGATATAATGCACAACAAAATTTGGGAATGTATGACCTGAGGAAAACCAAAACTAATTTTCATCCGTAGAGGAACATAGATATATGTAAAATAATTTACATTTACAATTGACCATACCTTTGATTTACCAAAAACCCAATCCACAGCCACTGCCCAACAATTGACCTTAACTGTTTTGCCGTTTCACAGTATAAAGGAAGCTAATTCAAAAATTTGAACATTCCATTTCCATCCCACCTAGTGTTCATTCGCAACCATTGTACTCCTTAATATCCTGAATCATTTTCAGCACTTGCCTCATTGTTGGCCTCTGTTCTGGGGATGTCAAGCTACAGATACTAGCTACTTCAACTAGCATTCCGAGCCATGTATCTTCCTCCCCGTCATCTTCCCGCATGGCTCTAACCCACTCTGGCATGTCGGGGGGTGAGAGGAATGGGTGCTGGGAAGGATGTTTACCTGACAAGAGCTCCAACAGGAGGATGCCATAGGAATAGACATCGGAAGCTGAAGTGGCACGCCTTGTAGACTTGCGTGCCTCGGGGGCTTTGTAGCGTGCGGAGTCTGGATCGTCGCTTGGAGATACGTCTGCTAGTGTTATTATGCAGTAGTCGGTGAGACATGCCTCGAAGTCGGTGGCGAGGAGGACATTGGAGGATTTCAAGTTGCCGTGGATAAGCTTTGATGCTTGATGGATGTAAGCCAGCCCTTGAGCAACGTCTTCTGCAATTTTTAGACATGATGTCCAGTGAAGTGGCTTAGCCCTCGTGGATCTTGAACCTGCCAAGTGGACACAGTATAAGCAACTTAACCTGGTGTACATGCACAAGTGAACAACCAGTATTCCCTACAAGGCTACAATATATTCAGCTCTCAAGGAAATAGAAAACGTAAGAAATCTCTTATCAATAAATAATCCATATATGCATGCAGACAGAGTGTGTTCGGTGTTCCCTTTCACGAATATGCAAGCTGAACTCCTTTCATCAAAAGCTATGACTCTGGATTGTTAGTGAAACAGCTGAGCTAGGAAGGTCAAGAAATTTAATCTATACTGGATCACGAAAAGATGTCAAGAACATTACAGTGCCACCTGCATTTAAGGGGCAGAGATATATTTCTTGCAGAATAATTGTACCCAGGCAAAAGCAGAATGGGATTAGAATATCTCATCTTAGTTGTATCAGTAATTTAGTTTGAGTAAGTGTTAGAGTCTCTAATAGCTTAGATATACATTATAACTCATGTAATGATGTAAAAACCACTGAAAGTATTCTTTCTAGTCTCAATTTTCTGAGTTCATACCAACTTGAAAGATGTATCATTGTCTAAGCTAAACAAACTTAAGAAACATCACCACTAGCCTCAATTTCAAAGACCAACAAATTTGCATATGCTAAGGGGATTGTAATTCAACAAAGGGGTGTGAGCTCAAGATTGGGTGATGATCAAGATGGGAGTAACGCTTTATTTAGAGATTGAAGATTTGGGAAACCATTAGATGGTGCCTTTACTAACTAGAGACTAGAACACAGAGCTTACAAGCAAGGGGCGGGAACCTGGGGTCGGATAGGGCAACTCACAGTTTACCTTCTCCAGCGGCTCTTGGGGATAGGTTCTGGAGGCTTAGGATTAGTCTAACGTAAACTGGGAAACCTAATGTATAAAAAAAACTAGAAAACGGAAAACAGAGAATACGTTTACTTGTACATTTTTCTTGAATTTTGCAGATAAGGCAGGGAATCAAGGAAACTCCATGAATTGAGCATGTTAGGGGCAAGGTGATCTTGCCTGCCATTGCAAAGTGATGTGGGGGGAATGGAGTCCAGGTTGCCAACCATTATAAAGTAGGTTGATAGGAAACAGTCAACTAACAGTGTGGCATATACAACCAAAACTAAATCACACGGCTATGGCATCAAAATTCCATACACTAACTATCTGGATTCCTGACACCAACCCCTATCCGGTCCCATTCGGTCGTCTTCGTGCCTAAATCTAAATCCACAGCCCCTCCAAAATTGTTTGATCCACAACAAGTCAGGTCTACAAGCCATAACGGTTCAGGGAGGAAAAGGAAAAGCTGAGGATGATGGTGATGGTGATGGGTTACAACTCAGCCTAAAACAGGTGCCGACATACACCAATTACAGTACAGTATTTTCCAATCGCCACTGAGTCAACACAGCTTGACTCAGCTAATAGGAAAAGATAAAAACATATGAATTAGAAGAAAAAGGAAGAAGAACGAGTTAACTCACCGTGAATGAGATTGAAAAGGCTGCCGTTGGGTTGATAATCGTAGATGATTAGCCTTTCCTGTTTGGCCTGGAAGTAAGCCCTAACAGGGACCAAATTCGGATGGCGGAGAACGCCTACTGCCTCCATGTGCTGCAGGAAAGCCTCCGCGCCGGTAATGGAAGTTTTTCCGGCGTCGAGTCGTTTAACGGACACGATCAACTGAGAAGCCATAACCGCCTTGTACGTAGTCCCAAGCGTACCTCTACCGAGCAGCTCGGCGGAAGCTCTCATAAGCTGCTCTAGAGAATACAATTCTGCCTCCCCTGAAGAGAACATCAGATTTCCGCTCTTCAACGGCGGTTGAGGTGCTTGCATTTTATTCTCTTTGACTTCTTCGTTGTTTCCGCCTTGAGGTGAGCACATCACATCCTCCATGTTGTGGTTACCAGTATCCGAGGTCAATTTTGTGGATTTCGGCTCCATTTCTTCCTTCCGTCTTCTGATTAAAGTGAAGAGGGAGACAATAGCTGCAATTAAGACTAGAGTTCCGACGACGAAACCTAAAATGACGCCGGTTTTTTTGTGCCGGTGTTGAGTAGGCGGCGGGAGTATTCCCTGCGACTGCGCTTCCTGTAGGAGAGGCCTAGGCGGCGAGACGGGCGTAGCAGGAGGGGAGTTGAAGAACGGAGAAGCTCCGCAAGGCTTGTCCACAACCTCGCCGCAAAGATTAGGGTTCAACGAGAATGAAGAAATAGTGAACTTAGACAGAGTCGGAGTTACAGGTATAGGACCTTTGAGGTTGTTGTTGGAGACGTTGAATACTCCCAGTTCCGACTGGTTCAACGCCGGAACGGAGCCGTTGAAGCGGTTAGAGTCGAGGCGGAGGTAGTTCAGCCGGTCCAGAACCGTCAGTCCATCGGGGAGCGAACCGGTGAAATTGTTATCAGAGAGATCGAGAATGAGAAGACGGTGAAGAAAGAGGATGGAGGGAGGAAAAGTTCCGAAGAAGTGGTTGTGGTCCAGAAACAGCGTTTTGAGGTTCGGCAGTCCGGCGAGGTCAGGAATAGCGCCGGAGAGCGAGTTGTTCTTCAGACTCAGAACTCGGAGCTGGTCAAGCCGAGTGAGCGTGTCGGCGGCGAAGATCCCTCGGAGACCAAAACCTTGGAGAACGAGACGCACCACCCGCCCCTGAGCGCACTTCACCCCCTGCCATCCACAGTAGTCAAACCGCTCGTTAAGCGTGTAAAGCAGCCTGCCATTAAGGTCCGCCTTGGACTTGAACGACAGCAGCGAAACGGCGTCGGAGGGGAGCAAAGAGCTACTGACGAGCGGCACAGACGGCGTGGCGGCATCGTCGGCGCCGATAGCCGCCGGGAAATAGCAGTAAGCTTGCATGAGAAAAAGGAAAAGAAAAAGCGGCGTCGGCGGCGGCGAGGGAACAGTGCGGCGCCGGCGCCGGCGCGCATTGTTTTCCATTTGTCTCGGCGGCTGGTGCGGCATTGTTTGGAGAGAGGGATGAGTGTTGTGTGGCTTAGTGGCTTTGGCTTGGTGGTCAATGTCTGAGACTCTGAGTCACGTGAAACTGTGAAAGTGAACGGCTTATAATATTTTTTTTAAAAAAAATTATTTTTGAGGCTCTGCCATTCTGGATTGCCACCATTTCTACACATTTTAGTATGTCATTTTATTTTAGAAAAAAACCAAACTTTTCCTTATTTTTGTACTAAAATTCAGATTTAATGATCACGTAATCAGATAAAATGATGTAATCAATCTTGTTCGATTGCATTTGTGTTCAGAATCATATTCTTTATTTTAAATCCCCTCTATTAATCAATCTTGTTCTATTGCATTTGTATTGAATTTTTATTTTTTTATTTTAAAAAATATTACACCCACAATCTATCATTTGAAGGTGTGCACTGACATACTCCACCGAAAAATGTAATAATCATGTTCTACCTGCTCAGTTATTCCTTCCAAAACTTTTTTTAATAATAATTGTGTTGTAAATTTTTTTCTAAACTCGCAACATTCAAAAAGTTACACGAGAGTCTAAGTAAAACTACCCAAATTGCAATAATTGAATGCATACTCTTTTTATTTAGTCTCAAAATTATCAAAAGAATCTTACTAGCTTGCCATCAATTTAAATAGATCGATTATCATGCTACCATCAACATATCACAATCATTTATTGAGAGAACTTCACCCGCACTTACCGGACATCAAGCAAGCTAACATGAGTTCTTCGCTTTATCAGAAAATTCAATTTGCAAAAACTGCATGCTTCGATCTCAAACAATGTCAATTAGTAGCCGACCATGAGAGAACTTTCGAACTAATATCACTTTCAATTCTCAACTTGAGCAAGTCCACTTCATACTAACCTATAAACCTTCGTAGTTACCCTGATACGTGACAAGCTCCAAGTAAGAAATAAATGGCATGTCTTGTTTGCTTATTAGAGTATCTCATCAATGGTTTTTGGTGAGGTTTTTGAGGAAACAATGTTTACGTGAATGAGAGAGCTAGGGAGATGAGAGAGAAGATGGTTGGTCTTAGCTGAATGACCTGATTTTTGTCAGATCTGTGGGGCCCACCAAGAATGAAGAAAAGCAATGTTATCTCGCGCCCAGCCGGCCGCGTGTACTGCACACGCCCAACTGGGCGCGTAAATCTTTACTTTTTTTAAGTTTTGTTTTTGTTTTTGTTTTTGTTTTTTTCTATCCTTTACATCTTCTCTTTTTTAGTAAAACCTACTAAAACTCTTCAAAAACTACAATATTGGAGATGCTCTTAGCTAAGGATATAAGAGTGTAGGGTACAATTTGATTAAATAAAATGCAGCATTTGTATCCACTATAAAATTTTCTATTATATTATATTGGTCAGTCCAGTCTAAATTTTCTATTATATTGCTCACATTCTAGCTGATATTTTTCAACCAAATGATGTGCCTAGAATCTTAAAGATCCCCATCTCCCCGGACTATGAGGATGCTTGGTATTGGTATGGAGATCCAAATGGATGCTATTCGGTTAAGAGTGGGTACATGCATATAGTGGGCACATATAATACTACCATGGGTTTTGATAGATGGAATACTCTATGGCACCTCAAAATACCACCCAAATGGAAAATGTTTCTATGGAGAGCAATGAGCAATATATTACCCACCACTACTAATTTGCTTATAAAGAGGGTAGAAATTGATCCGACATGCGCCATGTGTGGATTAATACATGAGGATATAATGCATTCATTAGTGTTGTGTGACTATGCAAAAGCCATATGGAACCAATCTAACCTTCCAATCCCCCAAATTGTGACAAACGTTTTTTATGATTGGTTTGGAACATTATTAAATGTTCTAGATTCTGATGCAATATTGTTTGCAGCTGCAATACTATACAATATTTGGAGGGCCCGGAACGATGCGGTGTGGAATGCTTACTTACCAATGCTGAAGAAGATTGTAGCCACGGCCTTAGCAGCTGTGAAGGCGTGGCAACAGCTGAGAACTGCTGCCCAAACGATGCATGTCACGGCCGAATTAAATGTCCCCCTTCCCACGGTACCGCCCCAACCTTTGTTGCTGCCCAGTTCGGCCGAAGTAGCGCAGCAGCAGCCCTAGCTCAGCATGGCGCAGTCATCTGCCGTGGAACACCCACCCCAACCGAGGAGATGTCACATCGATGCCGGCTACCAACCGTCGACCATGACAGGCACTGTTGGAGCGGTATTATTCACCCACACTGGCAACTATATATCAGCTTTTTGTGCACTTCCGCAAAATTGCTTTTCACCACTTATGGCCGAGGCTCTGGCATGCAAGGAAGTGTTGTCATGGCTCAAGGACCGAGGGGAACAATCGGTTAACCTCTACACGGATTGTCAGACACTACTCAATTATTTGACATCAGCTACTATTCAGACAAGATCCTATCTTGGTTACGTCCTGAATGACTGCAGGAACTATTTAAATACGTTTGATTATTGCTCGGTTAATTATATTTCTAGATCGCATAATACTTTACATTTACACTACCTATGTACTGGGACAATGTCCCTCCTGACTCTATTATGATTCATCTATAAATACAACCCAATGGTTGACTTTCAAAAATTAAATTGAGAGAAAAGACTTTTGTATTATTACTTCTTTGACTCTTTGAGCTTGGAATCAAATATGGCCTCAAATTCCTGGACCATTGTCTTAATCCTAATTTTGATAGGCCGAGCATAAGGCTTGCTAAGCATAACATGTGACTCGAATCACTGCTGTAACGTACAAGTTCACAAAGTATTACATTTAACAATATTATCTTTTTTAAAAATTATCATTTTTAACCATTCAATTATAGAAAAATAGTTAATTAAGTCTCTTGATTATATTGAGTAACCATATTTTATCTTTGAGTTGTTAAGACAATGGTAGAATTAGTCTCAAAAGTGATAAAAATGTTAATTATAATTGTTTTTTTTTTAGAACTGTTAATTGAAGTATAATTAAAATCCTAACTTTTTTCAAGATATTTTCTCTTGTAAATTAGAAACATTCTTCTCCTTAATGAAATAAATTTTAGGAATAAGGTTCAAATTGGCCACTGAACGTAACCTGAAAATGCAATTAGGCCATTGAACGAAAAAAAAGTGCAATTAGGCCACTGAACACTCCAAAAATGTGCAATTTCACCTGATAGCAGGTTACCCTCAATTTTAGCAGGTTATCTGCTTATGTGGCAGCTGAGTTGGCATTTTTAATAAATTTTAAATAATTTTTAATAAATTTTAATAATAAATTTTTATTTAATTTTTTTTTTTTTAAAAACGACTTTATTTTTTTTTCAATTTTTTATTAAAATTAATTATTAAAAATTATTTAAAAATGTCAACTCAGCTGCCACGTAAGCAGGTAACCTGCTAAAATTGATGGTAACCTGCTATCCGGTGAAATTGCATACGTTTGGAGAGTTCAGTGGCCTAATTGCACGTTTTTGGAGTGTTCAGTGGCCTAATTGCACTTTTTTTTCGTTCAGTGGCCTAATTGCATTTTCAGGTTACGTTCAGTGGCCAATTTGAACATTATTCCTAAATTTTATAATTTAGAGAGTTTAGAGTAGTAAACACATAGAGAAGAATGCATTGAAGTTTACAAAAATAATCTTAAAAAGCTAATTAAGTGATCTGCGAATCAACTTATATTATGCGTCCACAGTTAACAACTTAAAACAATAATTGAATTTCCTTGTTAATAATATTGATTAGAAAAGAATTGAATATCCTTATTCCTTAATCATCAAAGCAAAGCATAACCGCAAGCCATTCATTCGGATCTTAATTCATCAATGGCAATGCTTTGAGTTGGTTGCAATCTTACATTCTTACCTCTTAAGCAATGGCGGGCACTATGTTGGTTAATAATCAAATTAAAGATAGATGCACCCCATTTGGGTCCCCTCTACTTCCAATCATTTTTCTATAAAACCATCCTTGCAAAACATCACCATGGGTAAAAATTATTAATATTTAGGAAATTAAAAGCATTAATATATAACTAATTAAGGTTGTATCATGATACAATGGCTACTAACAAAGCAATGATTTCGTAATCATAGGTGCAAGCTAACATTATGATATCGCTCACATTTAAAACGGAGTATCAAACAGTAGTAGTTGTGGGCTTCCAAGTCAGCAGCTCAATTAACTCAACAAGAAGTTAACAGTTAGTTATTGCAACTGTTGAGTAATATGTTAACTTTGACCGTTATCCTCGAGTAGTTTGTTACTTGTAAGTCTCGGCTGTTTTCTTATTTTCTCTTGTAATAAAAAGCTTGTTGTTTTATCTTTCTAGGCAATTAGAATAAAATCACGAGTACATGATATTTTGTACTATATACTTCATCGTTGTCACGTTAAACCGTGTTATGCTAATTCATATTTTATTTTATTAATATTTTAAAATAATTAATTTAATAACTAACATATTAATATCAAACTTTAATTTACAAAGTAAATAATATCTACTATCTCCAACTAGTTTCATGAAAAAAAAAAAAAAATCATTCTACCACACCTTACTAAGCAACATGTTTGCCATTATTTTGCAGAATTTAATTTAAGACCATCTTAGGATGAGAATTGTCGTAGACAATTTAATTTGTATATTTTAATGGGATTTGGGAAGGATTCTTGAATCTTGAAGCTAAGGCACATGGTGAACACATGAGAATTGTTGTGTAAAGTAGTCAACTTAATTTTGTCGCCCATCCAATTTTGCCACTTCTCATGTGTGGCTGTGTAACTGTGTAAGTGAGGAAAAGGCAGAAACAAACAAAAGTGAAACAAAGTCCCTTAGCTAAAGGTTAAGACTTAAGGCAGTGTTTGATCAATTTTTTTGAGTGTAGGCCCTGCCCATGCCACCTTTTACTTTCCAATGGAAATTTTTGTGTTTTCTTTGCCTAAAAAGCCCCAACTTATCCTCAATATACTTTCAACGTAACTTTGAGAAGCACGCATCATACGAAAGCTACTCTTCCAACACCAAAAAAAAAAAAAAAAAAAAAAAAAAAAAAAAAAGAAAGAAGAGAGAATCTTATAAATCAATTAAGTCACGTCTTATGATTTACCTTTACTAATTTTCAAGGTATAAGTGGTGAAAATCTTTTAAATTTGCGATTCAAACTTTGTTATTAAAAAAAATACATTTTTATTTGAATACTATGGAGTAATTTATTTAAAAA